TATGTATACCAACCCTTCTAGTTACTGTAGTACATAAAAGCAAATGCCGAAGAGAAAGTTGTTCCAGCAATGTTAATATGTATATCTTAACTGTAAAAGTGTTGATTGTAGTTTTTGGTTTTTCAGAAAAAAAAAATACAATGTTTTTAAAAGTTTTTGTAAAGTGCTACAAAAAAATAATAAACATATATTACAATACACTAGCCTAATATCTCCTTTTTATTACGAAAATTCCTACACGTTTAAAAAAAATCGCACGTTAATAGTAGAGGATCCGATAGAATGTAGAACTGCACCGATATTTTTAATGACTAAAAATTATTTGATATGGAATTCAGTATGTTAACAAAATTATGAGAAACAAGGTGTGTCTGATATAATTTTGTTCTGAATATAATTAATTAATAATTATCAAAAAATAACTTTTTTTATTAGAATAATAAAAATTCGGGCAGATATTATTTTATTTTATCATTCGACACAAAAAAAGGTCTTTTGTAATTTTTCTCTGAAGTTGATCGTTTTCGAGTTTTAAATAATTTAAAACTAAAAAGAAAAAACGAAAAATTTCTATTTTCAAGGCTCAAAACACAAACAAAAATATTAATTTTGTAATCATCAAGTACAAACTTGCGAAATTTCTTCTATCAAGTCCCGATAACCATGTTTGCCATATTGTGCATGTTTTGAATTTTTCCAAATATTTTTTAATTGTTAATGAGGAAGGTTCTTTGTGGGAAGACAGGAGATCGGGATGGGCTACATTAATAATTAAAAAACAATGATTTAAAATGAAAGTCCAAAATACTTATCAAGACCTGATAAAATAATGTTGAGCTTGAACTTAGGTACTCCATAATTTCAAAAATGAAGTGAAACTTATGATTCTAAGCCTTGAAGATCATCATCTCTCGTTATTTTTTTAGTTTTAAATTGTTTATAACTTATTAAAAAGGCACTTTTTTGTTTTGAATGAATCTAAAATAATATCTGTCCGCAAAATTTTCTTTATAAAATAAGTTATTATTAAATTATTAATTAATTATAGTCACAACAAAATTAGATCGGGCACCCATTGATTCTAAATTACATATCAAATAATTTTCATGCAGTTGGATCTTTATCGTATCTGTATACAAAATATAATATGGACAAAATAATTTCAAACATTGGCGAAGTGCTAAATGCTTCACAGACATATTTCTTAGAAATCAGAGATAACGCTGGTGTGATGTCCAGTTCTCTGACTCACTACACTTCGTAAGTACTGCCCATAGAGAAATAAAAATAAGAGAGTGTTCAAAAGATAGGGAAAATTGATCACATTTGTTTCTGTGCAGGTAAGTAGCACATTGGGGCGCTGCTATTTATGAAACTAAAATTTACCATGGTACAATAAAGTATTTTGATTGTACTATGAAAATTTACATTGTTGACATTGACTTTTTAGCATAGAGTTTTAGGTTATACATAATCATATTGTACATTTATTTGTATATACGAAATTCTTTATTTATGTTACATAATATATTTTGATATTTCAATACTGAATTGGTGGAATATTAAATATTGGTAGGCGGAAATACAATTTTAATTTTATAAAAATACGAAATATAGTTTCGTATTTTATATATTGTTCCACAGTTTATGGACAAGATTATATTACTTTACCTATGTTGTATACTCTTGATTCGATTAATGTAACATGTTTATTTTATGTGGAATGTGCCCAAAGGAAGGACATAATTATAGCATAAGAGGACTACTTTGTGGTATATATAGTGTAGAAATATTGATTTTTTAATTACATTCATGTGCCATTTACAACATCCAAATTGTAGTTGTGTCATAATTCCATGTTTTCGAGTGATTCATATTATTTTTTTCTTAGTTGCAAACTGCTATTTGTGTATTCTGACAAATAATTTTACAAATTTAATAGGAAAATCACATTACCCTTGAGTTTGATCAGCTCCCTCCCAACCTAACCTCGATATTCACTCTCTATATGCATTGTATTGTCTTCTGTTTTATTTCCAGGTAGGTACTTGGAATTAACAAGGGGTAATAGACAGACATTTTTATGTGAAATAAAGAGAAGGTAATAGATATAGTGTACATATTAAATACAAATAAAAGCCTAGTAGTGTGACCAAGACAGTGTTTTGTAAGTAGGTAGGTTAAATATCAATAAAGGTTCTTCTGTGTTTAGTTATAATTTATGGTATTTGTATTGTATGTAGGTAATATTATTAGTTTATCATTTTGCAATCTCAAATATGTCCAAACCCGGTAAATATGTTCATGGGTGTTTAGCGTCCTTTTGTAATAACAAATATTTTCATCCTGTCACAGACCCAGATTATAAAAATAAAATGTTTTTTAGATTTTCAGCAACAGATTTAAAAAGACGTCATAACTGGTTTGAAATTATTGGTATTGAATTTACTGAAACTAGGTGTTATTTATGTGAAGATCATTTTGAGGAAACACAATTTACAAGCAGTTTAAAAACAAAACTGTTGAATAATGCAGTGCCTTTCAAAATAATTCACATATCCAATGTTCATAATCAACTTTTGCCTATACCTGCACATTCTTCTGAAGAAATTTCTGTTTCAAATGTACACATTCATACTAATGTTCAAATAGTTCCTCCAAAATTATCCTCCATTAATAACCCAGTTAATAATAAACAGTCAATTTCCAGTCAGTATGATAGTGAGTATGATACACCACCACCTAAACGTAAGCGATTGCATATTTTAAAAGAAATTAATGAAAATAGAGTAAAAGATCTTTCTCCTAAAAAGAAAAAGTTATAATTTTTTAAATCGAACTCATAGAAATTTTATTTGTAAATTAAAAAACTCTATAAAAGTTACTAAACAGAAATTAAAATTTGCATATGAGTTTTCTAAAGGTGAAAGGTTTACGGAATTAGAAGATAATATGGACCCTACAATTGCATCATTTTTTAAAAGTGCTTTTTCAAATTGTAAAGTTAAAGTTAAAGTTTTGGCTTTGTACAAAAGGGGTCCTAGATGTTACATATTTTTGAAACGTAGTATACCATTACCAGCTAAAAGTACCTTTCAGAAACTCTTAACGAACGTTCCTTTTGCAGCTGGAATAGATATCCAGTTATTAAAGAAACTTTCTAAAAGAGTAAAAACCATGAGACCATTAGATAGGTATTGTTCCTTAGTTTTTGATGAAATATCACTGGCTCAGCAGTTAGTTTTTGATAAGTTTAATGATAAAGTAATCGGTTATGTAGATCTTGGTCCCTTGGGTCGTAAAAATGAGTATGCTAATCATGCATTAATTTTTATGCTTAATGGTCTACACAAAAGTTGGAAACAACCAATAGCATTTTTTTTACACAACATACTGTAAAGTCGTATGATTTGAAGGATTTAATTTCACAGGCAATTACTAAGGTAGAAGTTGAAACTGGTTTAAAAATACTCTGTACTGTATGTGACCAAGGTGGTACAAACCATGCCGCTATTAAATTACTTTGTAGGGAAAATGATGAACCAGGGCCTCACTTTTTCATCAATAATCATAAAATATTGACAATTTTTGACCCACCACATTTATTAAAGTCAACTCGTAATGCTCTTTTAAAGTACCATATTCAGTTTGATCAGACAAAAATGGCAAAAACTGATCATATAAGACAATGTTTTAATATAGACAAAAGAAAACGGTTAAGGGAGGTTTATTTACATCTTAATAATCACAGTCGGTTAAAGATGAAAGTGTGTGTGGCCGCACGGACCCTCAGTCATACGGTTGCTTCCACTTTAGAAGAGATGGTTAGTAACCCAAATAATAATATACCTTCTCAAGCTATCGAAACTGCTGAATTTGTGCATGATATAGATAAGCTTTTTGATAGTTTTAATGGCAGAACAATAAAGCCTGAATGTGAAAAGCCTTATCGTAGGTGTATGTCTAATAAATCTCCTCATTTCGCTTTGTGGAATCGTCTTCTTAGAAAAATTAATAGCTGGATGTTTATTGATAAGAAAGCGAAAAAGAAGGTAATGCCTTTTAAGTCAGGGTGGTTAACTACTATTGTAGCAACAAAAGAGTTATGGAATATTTGTAGAGATCTGGGATTTAAGTTTTTAAGAGCCCGTTCTTTAAATCAAGATCCTTTAGAAAACTCATTTGATTCTATCCGTCATCTAGGAGCAGAAAATATAAATCCAAATTGCTACCAGTTTAGATCATCATTTAAAATATCTGTTCTTAATAACTTAATTACTCATTCAAATAAAAATTGTGAAACAGATGACGGCTCTATTCTTGATAATTTGCAAGACTTTTTGGATAGTTCAATCACCAACAATGATTTTATTGATTTAGATATTTTAGAGGTAAATGAAATAGAACATCTAGCTCTACCATTACCTGATACAGATGTTACAGGTCATGGTGGCAACACATTAGCATATATTATGTTGCTGGGTATATAACAAAAAAAAATTAAAATAATTCAAGAATGTGAGCTGTGTGCAGCTAATTTAATATCTGATGTTTTAGAACCACATCATACATTTACAATGTTTAAAGAATATAGTGATAAGAAATCAAGTTTAGCTTGTTACAAAAAATTTTATAGTAGATTTAGCCAAAATTCACGATATTGTAATTGCTGTATTAGTCAATAATGGACCATTTGTCCAAAAAAATTAAAATTTTGATAAAAAAGTATGTAACTCTGGAGTGGTTGTAACCAACATTTGGATTATGTGTTTAATTATTTTCTAGATGTGTATGTAGACTTAATAATTAGGAAATATTATGATGATGTTTATAGAACTTATCGAGATTTGCAGAAAAATGATTTACAAAAAAAGAAAATTAATAAGATGAAGCATTTATAATTTTATTTAGCCTATTTTTCTAAACTCTTCTCCATTTCTTTATTTAAATAAACTATTTTTTTAAGTTCACAACATTTATTTTCTTTTAATATGCTTTAGTACTTCAGTCAAATAGTTAATGGTAAATTTTATATATTGCATTCACATTTATATAACTAACTTAGTATAGTAGTCCCCAGTACAAGGAAAATTGTGTATTAAACATCTTTGAGAACTAAGCGTTCAAAAACGTAGCAACTCTGAAATTTTTCACAGAGGAAAAGTTTGTCAGACACGTTGCAAGGAATGCATACACAATGAAATTTTAGGTCCTTGTACTGGAGACTGTAGTGTAGTCAAAAAGTTTTTTATTGGCAAATATTTCTCTTATGAACATATATTTAAATTGCAGGTTTGTTCGATTTGTTTATCACCTAAAAGTATACTACTTATTTATTGTAAGAGTTGTTATTTTAAGGGTATTTATTTTAGCTTTAGTAAAGTTCTCTGTGTATTGTGTAATATTTTTCTTTGAATATTTTTAGGCTACCTACTAATCAAATTTGTAATATCTGCATTTTGTAAAATGTAAGATAAATAAAGAAGAGCGAGGACATGCATGCATTTTGTTTTGATCTGTGTTTTATATCTCAAAACTTTATATTTCAAAACAATTGTACTGTATATGTTTTTCTATTTTGTTTTATCAGCACTCCATACATGCATGCGGTAAGTGGGGGGTCCCTGTGAGGATTAATAAAAATAAAACATGTGTAGTTTTTTTTCCAGTGTTCATGTATCCTATTTTTCTGAAAAGTTATGAGGAAAATATCGATGGCTTAGCATCGATAAATCCTTCTATCACATTTTACAGATAATTTTACAGGAGAGACTTTGAACTGAACTTTTGCATACTCTAACCTAAAAACAAAAAATAAAATTTACATATTTTGATTCTGAACATATATTTAGATCGTTACACATAATTTTTCACATATATTTTAGGTTAGAGTATGAGGAAATTCAGTTTAAAGTCTTTCCTGTAAAATTATCTGTAAACTGAGATTCTCTACTGAAATATAATAATTTTAAATATCCCGCGTTCCATTTTCTGGCCGCTTAGTTGAGTAAGTAGTTCATTAAGTCGCTAGCATCGAGTGACGTCACACTGTGCCAGTTTTATCTATGCAACCAAGCACTCTCTTATTTTTATTTCTCTATAGTACTGCCATAAATTGGTTGTGGAAGGGCACGATAGGGGAGGTAACGGCACCTCTGTCTACGATCACTCTCGTATGAACGCAAAGTCATAACTAGTTGTTTCCCGTAATATCCACTAGAGTCGCTGATTCTTGATGAAATTTTAATTTTTTGGGTTGCACGTTTCTCTCCATAGGCGTTGCGGATCTATTTGGGTTATTCAATCAACGATATTAGTGATATAGATAATAGATGGTTTTTAGTAAATCAACAAAGTTACCCTATATGCGTAACAGAATATTATTACATTTTGGAAAATACTCCACTCTGCATATCTTGTTTTTTTAGTGTATTGCAAGGAATACCAAGCGATGTCCCATCTGCCCATGTGAGCAGACACGCAAGTGGGAGATACATTTTGGAAAATACTCCACTCTGCATATCTTGTTTTTTTAGTGTATTGCAAGGAATACCAAGCGATGTCCCATCTGCCCATGTGAGCCGACACGCAAGTGGGAGATTGTGGTATGTGTGAAACCAAACTATATTCCGTGGTTTTTATAAATCATTGTATTCTGTGTAATGCATAGTAGGGATGTGTAGGTCACCATCGAAATAGTTCTAATGAACGATTCTTTCAACTGAACTAATTGAACTAGTTTATTAATTTTCATAGAACTAGTTCACTGCGAACGATTTGCATTATAAATTGTGTCTCAACTTCTAAAGAAGAAAATAATGAATGAATGAATTAGAACATATATTTATTATTTTGTGAATGGATGGACTAACTAGTTTAAAAAAAAATGCCGATTAGCCTCAGATAACAGATTCGTAATTCTTATGAATGTGACAATACCATAAGGTCTTATCTTAATGTCATAATGGTTTGCATCTTATGCCCATGTATTGGCTTGGATGTTGCCATGCTGTGTTGTTTTTTGTATTGTAATTTTGAAATAAAAATTTTAGTTGTGGTTAAAATGATTGAGGCATTTACATAAAATATAATTTTATGTAAAAGTGAAAATGTGTTATTTAATGTTCCTAGAAAATTCACTGATTTTTTTGTAAAGGTTCTTTTAGAAATACCCTAATTATAAATACCTATTAGTTTAAATATACGTAAATATAAAAATAAATCATACTTGAAACCATATTTATATTTAAAACGGTTATTAAAAAACTAATCTTAATAATTTTTTGCAAATAAAAACTAACTAAGCATATAATAATTTAAACCATTTAAACCTAAACATACGATCGAAAGAAATAGTTCCGAACTACTTGTACGGTAGTGAACTAGTGAAAGACTGACTGAAAGAAAGAAATAGTTCCGAACTACTTGTACGGTAGTGAACTAGTGAAAGACTGACTGAAAACCGAAGTAAACGCGCGGCCAGTGCCGAGCTTGTGTGATGATTGAGACGAGACATCTGGCAACCAGTTCTGTTAGGGTTGGATTTCGATGTCGGTCCTACAAATAGTTCTTTCGCGAACTAGTTCACTGAACTAGTTCATTTTTGTGAAATAGTTCTGTTGAACTAGTTCGTCTAAAAGAACTAATAAGCACACCTCTAATGCATAGTAATACATATATACAAATATATAAATTTTTAAAAAAGTTTGTTGTTTTATTTAAGTTCCATTTAATGAAAATGTTAACAAAATGTCCCATATCGCTGTAACCAAAGCAGTTTTTTTTATTTTGAAATGTATTGTTTAGTTCCGCAGATATTTAAAAAAAACTTGCAAAAACCCAAAAAAACTTTAGAGTTTACTTGTATTTTTCAAAAAAACTTTACCAGAAATTTGATATTATCTACCAAGAATACTGTAAAAGATTTGGCCTTTTATCTTCTAAGGATCCAGAGATATTTGATATAAAAGTTAAAAAACACCAAAAAAATTCGATTTTCGGACTTTGAGTACTTTTAATATAATATAAATAAGATCCCAATAACATTTCTTTTAATTTCTAAGTTCGAAAACATTTAATTTTTTATCTAAAACCTTTTATTTTTAAAAATTATGACACATTAAAATATTTGGTTGAAATCCTGGCCTATTTCATTTGAAATAATTCAGTTTAGAATTACGGTACGGTACTGCTGGCGCCATCTTTAATTTCAATGGCGAAACTCTCCAAGATTACATTCAAACGTGAAGGAGAGATTATCCTATTAATTGAAGAGTTAATTAGAAGAAGGCAAATATGTAACTTGAACCCTTCTTCGGTAAATCATTCCAATGTGTACAGTTTTTTATATAGTTGCATTGTGTCTGACTTTCATTGCTCTACGACTAAAATTAAGGAAAATAGCAAGTGCAAGAAGGATTCAAGTTGCAAGGTGTACACGTTTTCAGTTGTAAAAAAGGGTCTTTAATTTTTGAATCTTCTAAAAGTCAAGTTTAATGAGGTTATTTTTCAACTGTCTGGTGGAAAAATAATTCATGTCAGTTTGAAACCTTCATACACAAATAAAGAAAAAAATATTAATGAAACAATTTAAACATAAAAGAACTCAAACGTGTTAGTAGCCTTCTTCACTTTAAAAATGCCTAAAAGCTGGTCATTGTTTTTCATGGATGAAGGATTTAATATGTTTTATGCCCATTTTTCTGCATTGTTAATATAATTTTTATTTATAGAATGTCGTTTGATGAAAGATACTTACGATATTAACCCATTCCTACAACAACTCTGTTATCCTAAAAGAAATGACCTTCATTCAAAAGGAATCTTTTTGATTTTGAAACGCAGGTAATTAGTATTTCGCTCTCACTCTGTTCGTGCATTAAGGCGTGAAACGTTGTAGATTTGTGGTTATGTTTTGATGCTAATCGTGGTGTTGATAGAAAAGGTGCAGTTTTTGTATTATAAAGTGGATTTTTTTCATTCTTCAGCGAAAATGAGTAAAACTAGAGGAAAAAAATTCTTGAATTAGTGACTAGAGCAGAATCCAACAGGAATAATGACACTGAATTATTTGAGCAAAAAATTACTAGTTCTGCAGCCAATGATGAATATGGTTAGTATTTTTTTGTTTTTTATTGTAAACGGTACGGTAATATTACAAATATATACAATGATAGTATATAAGTTTTAAATCAATATGTTTAAAGTTAATCTCTCATAATAATAATCTTTTTCATGTCATGTAAAAAGCTGCTTTTGCTTTTGCAATAATATTCTTCAAAACAAAGTTATCATTGTTATAATATTCGGAATGTACAGGGTGTTACTAAGTTTTTCGTTGGCAAAGTTTTATTTTTTAAATGTAATACATATCCATAGTAATATCCATAGTCAAATATCTTTACCTATATTTCTCCAAAAAAAAAAGAAAATAGTTTTTATACTGCGACTTACATAGTTCCTCAATAAGTTCAAACAAAATTTGATCTACTGTATCAAGTACCGATTTATCTAGTTCTCAATCTCACATAAATACAGAAAAACATCAATTTGATGATACTTAACGTAAGATCAAAGTCATACTTATGTAGAACCACATTTTGTAAAGCTATGAGAACAGGAACCATGTACCAAATATTTTCTTTTCCTTTTCAGATAGTACTTCATCGAAAAGTGAACCATTTTCTGCAGGTTCATCAGATAATTACATCCCAGACAGTAGTGATGACAGTGATGAAAGTCTGATGAATGAAGGAAATGAGCTGCAGACTTTGAACTCTGTTCAGAACAAAGATTATCCATCAGAAGAAGTCTACGCTACTGCTAGTAATAATAATCAACAATTATTATTTAATTCTGATCTGGTTCAAGAATTGGCAATACCAGGTAACATGACAAGTTTAGACCATATCAGCGATGAAAATAATATTAAATATGAATCCGAAATACTTACCAATATCAATCAACAGTCAACTCAACCAACATTAATAGAACCACTGGATACAACACGAAAACGTAAACACGACTATCCTGCTAAAGAAAAATTAACAAGAAAACGACAGTGCAATCCAGAAACGTGGAAACGAAAGATCAATTACATAAATAGAGAAAAAGGTCTTGAGTATAAAAATTACAAGGACAGTTAGTTCCTGCAAAAAAAAATGTGCGAAACGCCTATATGTTCCTGTAAAAAGAAATGTAACGAAAATTTCACAATAGAAGACAAGATACATATTATGAATACTTACTACACACTTGATGTAAATAACAAAAATATATACCTGTTTCAAAGTATGAAACGCCAACCATGCAAGTTTGGTAAGAGAAACCCGAAAATAAAGAGAGATTACACATATACCTATTTCATCCAATCAGAATCTGGTACTGTTCAAATTTGTAAGAAGGCATTTATGAACCTTCATCAAATTAGTGCCAAGAAACTAAATGTAATTAAAAAAAAATTGTGCGAAGGATTCAGTGCCCCTACTCATGATAGGAGAGGAAAACATAGCAATAGGCCTCACAAAACTAAAGAAGAAGTACTTGAATATATACGTCAACATATAGGATCCTTTCCAGCAGAGGAATCTCATTATTCGAGAACCAAAAATCTCCACAAAAAGTTTCTATCGCCGACTTTATCCCTTCGTAAGATGTATGAGTTGTATAAAGAAACATGTAAAGAGGAATCTAAAGACAACTCATTTTTAATAAAAGAAAGTCAATATAGAAAAATATTCTGTACAGAATTCAATTTTTCTTTTGGTCTTCCAAGGAGCGACACTTGTTCAAAATGTGATTTAGTCAATGAAGATACTCAGTTAATAACTCACAAAGAGAACGCTGCTCTCGGTTACAGCCTTATCAAGTCTGATCGGCAAAAATGTGAAGAGAATGAACAAATGTGCTTTCTTACCATGGATCTTCAGCAGCTAATGCCCCTGCCAAAACTTTCAGTTTCTTTATCATTCTATCTCAGACAAATTTGGTTTTTTAATTTTGGTATACATTTTGTAACAAAGAATGGAGATGAAGTTAATCACAGCACAGTTATGCTTAACTGGACTGAAGACTTTGGTACTAAAGGGAGTAACGAGATTATGAGTTGTCTGTATTATTTTACAATTATGTGTGAAAATATGATTGCAGGTAAAGATCACCTCATAGTATGGGTCTGATTCATGCGGAGGGCAGAATAAAAACAGTAACCTTATACTGCTGTATCAGTACCTTATACTAAAATCAAAGTTTAAAATAATAGATCATAAATTCCCAGAAGTGGGTCACACTTATTTGGATTCTGACCGTGACTTTGATAGAGTGGAAAAGGTCTTAAGAAAGCACCAAAATATTTATAGTCCTGATGAATATAGGAAAATAATGCAAGGAAGCATTAAAAAATCCCAAATAATAGATATGCAGCAACATTTCTACGATTTCGATCAATTAAAAACTGACATGAATTTGGTAATAAGGACTGAAAATACATTGAAACAAAAGGTAAACTACAGGGATGAAGTAAGGTGGATAAGGACTGTTGAATTCGGTAGTTATCTATACAAGTCTTCTTTTGACTGCTATACACCTTTTCTAATGGTTGACCTCAAAAGATAAGCTGGTTGGTCTCCACAAGAAAATATTGTCATTAAGAGAAGAAACCAGGAAAATCAAATCTCAGTAGAAAAGATTGCTGATTTGCGGAAGCAAATAGAATATATTCCCGAGCAACACAAGTGGTTTTACGAAAATATTCTCCAAAAAACTAACGTCTAAAGATTGGGTTGTAAAGTCATTTTTTGTAATGTGCATTTTGTAATGTTAATCAGTTTTATTTTGATTTGTATTTTGAATAATTTTTTAACAAATTACGAAGTTTGTTACTACTTGTATATAAAATTGAAATTTTTCTAATACAATGAAACAAGTGATTCAAGAATTTAATTTCAAATTTCCTACGAATATCCCTAGGTATATTTTTTCAATGGAAAATAAAAAAAAGTAATTAATCTGGCAGGCAAGAAGGGTACATGTACTCTTTAACGCCATTTAATATACAGAAAGTAACACTAACAAATGTACTTGGTGTATGGAAGAAGGGCACAAATATAATTTTTTAATAAAGAACTCTATTTGATATCATCAAAAATCCGAATAGTTATATTTCATATAATAATGACTTTAATGCCTACTACTTACCACCAAAATATATTTAAGAAGTAATGTAACTGAAAAGTTATAAGCCACCTCAAATCTGATACTTTAACTGCGATTATCTCAAAACTAAAATTTTTAACTTGTACCCTTCTTCCAATTAACTCTTCAATTTATAGATGGAGCTAAATAACTGAAAATTGTTCAAATAATAAGTAAACGTTTGTTTACTGTTCATGTCTGTTTTAGTAATATTAAATGGCGTGTGGTTTGTTGACATATTTTATTGGAAACTTAAGTTCCAATAGTTTTGTAAGATATTCTTTTTCAGTTTTGGATAAATGAAAATTATGTTAATGTCATTTTTTGACACGTCAAATATATTAGTTTACAACATAATTTTTAATAGGGTAATTTCGCCTATTCGCGTCCATCGCCCTATTCGCGTCCATCGCCCAATTCGCGTCCATTTTATGGTCGTCCCTTTAGAAATTCTCGAAAATAAATCTGTATATGGGAAGTATACTATCCTAAGTCCAATTTTGTAGAAAAATACATTATTGCATAACCGGCATTGGAATATCTTAATTTATTTAGGAGTAAACTATTCTAAGTCCAAACGCTTTTAAAAACGAAAGTAAACGAGAAACTATGTATACTATGTCCAGTTTTCTTTAGAGGTATATAATCTTATCTGGACTTAAACTTATATTCCTCCAAATGAAATATTATGAATCGGATCCTAAGTCCATTATAGGATTATATGCCTCTCATTGAAAAGACATCAAGTGTAATAAAATATACACACATGTCAAGTGCATTTTCTTAAAACTTAATATTTTTTTAACAACCTCAAGTTAAATGCGTAGTATAATCTTGAAGTGCACATCAAGACAAGTGGTGACTAATATGTAGTAATTTTATGGTTTACAGGCCGCTCTAATTTATTGCCTTTACGAGTTTTGGAGATTGGATTTAATTTTTACTTAATTTATTAGACTGTGCTAAGCATTATTTTAACGAAAAATGGTCTTTAATGACAGTAAGGCGCATTCTGAAATAAAATATTTAGATTTTAACTTACCAGCTTACCAAACGTATTTTAAAGTTGAAAACGTGTTATTAAGATTTGTATTCAATTCAGTTGAATGCGAACCAAAACATATTAAAGAAGTTATTTAGTGAGTCTACATTGTTTCATCGCTTTAACAATGGCTTTTCGTAAAAGAAGTTTAAGGATCCTAGATTTGTCGCTCTGCGATACACCTAAGTCTTTCAACACAGACCCCAGATTACAAAAAGGTAAGTTTTTAGAACTAAATATAATTTTTTTACACAGTCGAGAAAATGTAAATGCAATGTTAACTGCTTTTCTAAATGTTAGTACATCTTTATTAATAATAATTTTATTTAATGTCTGCTTCCGTTGTAACAAAAATATCTATTTCAGGTGCAGATAAAGAAATTCTACCACATCAAGAACTTAGCGATAGATGCGGCCAAGATGCAGCCATCAAATCAGCTGGTGTTGCAGAAGAAAAGCACTATAAACAAAGTTCTGTGGTAAGTGACGACCTTTATTTAAGTGACAGCGATGATTCGATAAAGGATAAAGATTATCAACCAGATTCAGACACTGATTTAGATGAAAGTGGAAGTAGGTTTCCTGTACTTTTATCGGCATTGCCAGAAGGTGTGCCAAGTACATCTAATTCCGTACCAGACTTCTTAACTAATACCGTAGAAGAGACTATAAATCCAAATTCTTTAATGACCAAGAGAAAAGTTGTCAATAAAACAAAAATAAAGCAGACAGGAAAGAAACGGACACGACATGTTCTTCACTGGAAAGCGAATGAGAGAAAAAGAAACTATGCTGGAGGCAGGGCCTATTTTAGTAAGAAGGGTAAGAATGTTCCTTGCAAAAACCTAAAAGTACCATGCGGAATAACTTGCCGCATGAAATGTAGTTCAAAATTATCTGAAGCTCAAAGGGAAGATATTTTCAAAAAATATTGGAATGACACAGCAGACCATAATATCAAAAGACAATTTATATTATCTTGTGTCCAAACGAAACCTACAGAACGACATAGGTTGCGCTCAGGAGACGAATCTAAACTAAGATCAAATACTTTAATTTACTCTTTTGTAATTAACGGTAATAGAACCTTAGTATGTAAAACCATGTTCTTAAACACGTTAAGTATTTCACAGCAAGTAGTGAAGACTGCTTTATCAAAACGACAGGATGGCGGCATGGTTCAACGAGATCTTAGGGGCACTCATGAGCCAAGTAATAAGACAACACAAACAATTATTGATTCTGTAGTATCACATATTTCATCTTTTCCGAAATACGAGTGTCACTACAATCGGGAAAGGTCCAAAAAGAATTACTTGGGCCTGATTTAAATATTGAAAAAATGTATAAATTATACAAACAGAAAAAGACAGAGAATAATGATGCTACTGAAGTCATAGCAAAGCCCTGGCTATATCGCGATATATTTAGCCCTTTCGCTCATGGTGTACAGTATATTGTACATCACTTTACCGATATCAAAATGACGTGACCTGATGCTTCTATCCGCTTTATTCACAATGTACATTATAATGTATACATATTAGTTTTAATTTCAAACAGTTGCTTTCATATAGCGTTGATTAGTTTAAAGTGAAAAAAAATTAAATTCAAGGAAGTAAGTTGCTGTGACGGTTACTTCAGTGTCTGGATGTAAGGTGGCTTTTAATAATTTACAGATTGGTTGGAAATGTCCGATATATTTTTGTTGATGACTAGAAACACTTTTATTTGCTGCATTTACGGTCCACTTTCTGATAAGTTTGTTTGTTTTTTCTATATTTGGGTAAACATTAGTGTACAGTATACTGTACAGTGTGAACATACAGAGGTCGACAAAACCAGACATTATTTACAGTTGTTTATACTTCATTTATTTTGCAGTATTAAAATACATATAAAAATGAGTAAAAGAAAGCCGTTAAATGAAAAACAACTAATGGAGCTAATTGAGGCCGGCCTATTAGATATTGACGGGCTTAGTGATGATGACAATGACGATTATGGTTGGGGAGATAGGGAGCAAGAAGTTAGCAGTGATGATGATAATGAGTTGAATGAAAGCTAATTTAATTTTAAATCTAATTTTATGGGTATAGGAAAAGAAGATGAATGTAAAAGGTGGGAAAAAAATAAGAAACAATATATTTATGTCAAACGACCTGAAGTAATTAGAAAATATAAACAACATATGGGCGGCGTTGATAAATGCAACTTTTTGATTACTTTATACAGAACCTTTATTCGTTCCAGGAAGTGGACACTTCGTATGTTTACACATAGTATCGATATCACATGTTCTAATGCCTGGCTGGAATACAGGCAAAAGGCGATTGCTTTAGGTATTCCGGACAAGCAAATATTGGATTTGGTTCATTTTAGGGCATATGTCGCTGAAGTTTTGATAAAATCAGACAAAGTATCCTCCAGAAAACGGGGACGTCCTTTGGATACAAGAGAATCGACGTCATCTCCGTCACAGAAAAAACAAAAAACAAACTAGACCAGCAGCAGAAGTAAGGCTGGATGGATTTGATCATTTGCCAATTATAGATGACAAATCCTTTTCTTCTAGGTGCAAGTTCCCTAAATGTGGTTCTAGAACCAATTTCGTATGTCAAAAGTGCAATATACACTTATGTATTTCAATAAAACAAAATTGTTTTATGTTATATCATACAAATAAATAATTAGTTGCAGATATATGATTTTTAATTGTATTTTGTTTTAGAAAGTCGCAAGAGCTACTACAATTTACTCACAATGTGCAATATATTGTACAGGTCGTATACACCGTTTGTTCACAATGTACAATATACTGTACAATTTACATCCCTTAAAAGGGGTAACAGGGAATTATTTTGAGTAGGCCAAAAATGTTATAAAAATTAAAAGAATATGCCTACCAAATTTCAAATTTTTATCTTAAAAAACAAAAATGTATGAGCGAAAGGGTTAATAAGCAATTTAATTTAACATTCAAACCCCCAGAGGTAGACACTTGTGACGACTGCGATATGTTTGCAGCTAAAATACGAGCAAAAATTGATAATGATTCTGAGAAACAACTGATTGAAAATGAAAAAGATACCCACTTAAAAGAAGCAGAAAATAGATATAAATTTAAATCTATTGATATGGCTGAAGCAAAAACAAATATAAAACACAAAGTTCTGACTGGTGATCTACAAAAGTGCCTTCCAACGCCATATTTGACCAATTGTGTGAATTTTTATAAGCGAAAATTATGGACTTTGAATTACACTTTATACGATGGGTATAATAGTGCTGCGTATTGTATAACGTGGGATGAAACCAAAGCAAACAGAGGAGGAAATGAAATTGCTTCGGGAATTTTAAAGTGGGCTGATCTAAATATTCCTTCATCTGACGTCGAATGTGTTACCTTATGGGCAGATAACTGTTGGGGCCAGACGAAAAATCTATGTGTAGTTATGTGTGCACTTTACCTCATTCAAAGATATCCTAAACTACAAGTAATAGATTGTAAATTTCTTCTAAAGGGGCACACGCATATGGAATCCGATTCGGTACACGCCAATATTGAAAGGAAACGGAAAAAACTACCCAATCTCACTATATTAACACCCTGGGACTGGCAACAATTTATTCGTCAGTGTTCAAATAAATACGAAGCTGTGAACATGGAACTCAATGATTTTAAAAATTTTGAATGCTTATATTCTTCAACAGGTCCATTTATTAATCGGAAAATAAATACTGACAGAGAGGCATTTCAAATTTCAAAATCAGTGATCTTACGAGTTACCAAAGAAAAATTTGGAATACTTCAATACAAAACTGCATTCAACAGTGACACTTTTCAAATGGTTGACTTAAGACGAAATAAAAGAGGTGATATCATTTTGCCAGAAACTTTACCACAAATGAATATGCAATTGATTCCTATATCAACAAAAAAATATAGTGATCTTATGGACTTACTCTTATACTTGCCATCGTATTGCCATGATTTTTATAAGAATCTTCCTCATTCAAACGAAGAATCCGAGTATCCTAACGATAATAATGATATGTAATTTTCAAACTGTATGTTAGTTCTAACTAAATAAAATACATAAAGAAGTATTGACGAGTTTTTTTACACAGATAACCAATTTATGAGGACTTAGTATAGGTGTATTATAAATATAAGGAGTTTTATAATTTAGAAGTAATATATCCTAAGTCCATTATTTTATTATCTTTAAACCCTTATTATACTTTCATAATACTACAGCAAACTATATATAATACTATTTTTAAATACCGACAATAGTTTCCGCTACAATTATTAATTGCTTATAATTTTCTGAACAAACATCAAATATAATGTTTAAGTACTCCTCCTGTAAAATTATGAGAATGTGACTTAGGATGGTATGCTTCCCATGTACAGAAATATACTAACGGGTCAGTAAAACGAAAAGTCATTACGGTCAATACCTCAATATATGAGAGACAATGACACATAGACAAAACTTCAGTGCGCCCCACCAATCCTGTTTAAATAAAATAATAGTTTTGGCTTGTCAAGTAGAGAGTGCGGACGTGCCTAATATTGAAGAAAAAAATAGTGTACAGGAGCACAGTTGACGGTAAGTCTTTTATTGTTTTATGTGAATTTAAGGATAAATAGCTGTTTCTAGACATTAATAATAAAAAAAGGAGTAATATTAATTAGGAATTTGCTTATTTTTTTTATAGTTAACTGTTAAAATAAGGTGGACGCAAATTAGTACACCGAATTTCTAAAACTTACAGTTTGCGTTCGCGCAATGGACGCAAACTATACCTATAAGAGATAAGAAGAGAACAAATTGCGTCCATTTTTTATTAAATACAACTGACTTTTTACTGTTTTACTTTAACTGTTTAATTTTACAAACTTTTATTGTTTGTTAAATTAAGATGTATTATTATGGGTACATTTGATTGAAACGAATGATTTGAATGAAATGTGTAATTTTTTTATTATTAATTTTTTTCTAGCAATAAAACACTAAAAACTTTGTTTTCAAACTTCCACAAGATTTATTTTAACCTCTTAACACTACAGCTGTTTCGGCTGATTGCTTTTCTCAAGTGATCTATTTTTGGCATGCGTTTACACTTTATAGTCTCTAATGAAATAGGTTGAGGAGGGGAGAACTGTTTGTCTCAAGTTGGTCATTCAGAATTATGACTGTATTTTTTAATTTGTTGATTTCCATAGATTTTAACAAGAATAGTTTAACGCCTTTATTTTGAATGCGAAGAATTTTAAATTCTTCATTAAAACAATTATTGTGATCTAGAAGGTGAAGTGCGTATGTAGAATCTGTTTTTCTATTATTGAAAGCCCTTTTATGTTCTGCTATTCGTTTATTAAAGTTTCTACCAGTTTGACCGATGTAAGTTTTTGGGCAGTTGCCACATTTAAGTTTGTACACACCACTGTATAAGTGTTCTTTATTTTGGCTCTTGTTGTTTTTAATATATTTGCCAATATTGTTATTTGTTAAGAAAGCTGGTGTTATTCCTTTCTTTTTATGTGTTTGGCTGTTTTTGTTGATATTTTGCCTGTGTATGTAATCAAGCAGAAGGTTTTTTCTCTGGTGGTGAAAATACTAATTTCAGGGCTTTCTTGTTGTTTTAACATTTTATTAATTGTTTGTTCGTTGTATCCATTGTTTACTGCTATTTGCTTAATGATATTTAATTCTGTCTCAAAGTTGTATTTTGACATCGGAATTTCGGTTAATCTATGTAACATACTATGATAGGCTGCCAGTTTATGTTGTGTTGAATGGGACGATGAATTGTGTTTAGTCGTGTCAGTATGGGTAGGTTTATGAAATATGGAGAAGTCATGTTTGTTTTTAAGTCTGATAATTTTTAAATCTAAAAAATTTATGGATTGATTTTGTTCTGTTTCTATTGTAAATTCAATATGACTATGAAGTGAATTAATATACGATAAAATTGATCGAGTTGCCTGTTAGTTCCTGTGAAACATACCAGTACGTCGTCTACGTATCTCCTCCAATATAAAAACTGTTTAAATACGGGATGTTTTGAAATCTTTGTCTCTAGATGATCCATAAAAATATTTGATAGCAATGGGCTTAGAGGATTGCCCATTATAAGTCCTGCACTGTTATTTGTATATATTTGATTATTAAATTCAAAGTAGGATTCCACAATTTTGTGGAAGTTTGAAGACAAAGTTTTTCAGTGTTTTACTGTTTCATAAAATGAATTTCCATCAAGTAATGGTCGAATCTATCAATTATTAATTTTTTGTTTAAGATGAGTTCTTCAGAGACAAGAAAAAAGAAGGAAAAAAGAACATACACACAAGAAGATTTAAAAAAAGCGTTAAATGAAATTCGAGAGACGAAGAAATCGGTAAGACAAATATGCAAAGAATATGGAATTCCCAAGACCACAATATTGGACAAAATCAGTGGGCGCAGACCAGATGGAGTAAAGAAACCGGGACCGGAACCAGAACTAGGAGTAAATGGTGAAAAAATGGTAGTTGAATGGCTGCTTAGCATTTCCAAATGTGGATTTCCAGTAAAAAAACAGGAATTGTTGGATACTGTTCAGAAAATAATTCGAGACGGCAATTTTAAAAATAAATTCAAAGATGATCGTCCAGGTCAAAAGTGGTTTAAAAAATTTTTGGCTAAAAATAAAGAATCTCACTAAAAATGCCGAAGGCATTAATAAAGCTAGAGCCCAAGTGACAGAAGAGTCAATCAGATTATGGTTTAGACAATTGGAGGAATATTTAGACAGTATACACCAAAAAGATATTTTGAATGATCCGACAAGAATTTTCAATGGGGACGAAAGCGGTTTTGCTCTTTGTCCAAAAACAGGAAAAGTTTTAGGCCCAAGAGGGTTCAAAAACTTATACCAAATAAAACCAAGTAATGAAAAAGAAAATATAACAGTATCATTAACATTTAATGCGAATGGAGATATGTGTCCACCTTGTATCGTGTTTCCATACATTAGACCACCAAAAGCTGTAGTGAATAGTATGCCACAAGAATGGTGCTTAGGCAGATCGGAGACAGGTTGGATGAGAGGAGAAATATTCTTTGAATACATCACCAACGAGTTTCATAACTGGATAGTGGAAAATAACATAAAAAAACCAGTGCTTCTTCTGGTAGATGGGCATAAATCGCATATGTCCTTAATACTAAGTACGATATGTGAACAACTGCAAATTATTTTGTACGCCCTGCCGCCTAACACGACCCATATTTTGCAGCCAGCTGACGTTAGCGTATTTGCACCGGTAAAAACATATTGGAAATCTACAGTCCGCGCATTCCTATCAAAGCCAGAAAATTTGAATTCGGCCGTCACAAAAACAAACTTTTGCACATTGTTAAATGATGCCTTAAAACATCCTAATATGTCCGACAATATCAAGAATGGGTTTAAGCGATGTGGTCTATACCCATTTGACGCAAATAGTCCAGATTAAACTAAATGTGTAAGAAATACTTTGGAAAAAGTCCGTTCATCAAGACTCACCAGATGTTACCCACTCAGATATTATAAGTTTTTAAACAGTTTTAAAACACCTGAAACCGACATTAAGAGAAAAAAATATTGACATTAGAACTATTACGAAAGAAGTCAATAGTTTGAAAAAGTATCTTCCTGCAAAACTAGGATTTGCCAAGATTTCTATCGAAACTGAATCTGAGAATTCACATATGGAACTTTCAATAGAAAAAAATAGTACCATTTTTAATCCTACTGATTGTGAATTGGAAGTAAGCAAAGAAATCATCAGCACTTCATTACACAAAGAAGCCGAAGATAAAAATGATGAAGTGAGTTCCGATTCTACAGTACAGGTTCAAACAGTATCAGCTCAAATACATTCTACACCAAAACAATTTGCCGAGCCTTGCACATCAAAAATAACCGCCACCGATAGAAACCTAATAACTTCTAAGATTAACTACGATGAAATCAAGGTACATCCAGATAATTCTTCAACTCATACCAACAAAAATGATTCGTTCCCTGACTTGTCTCTTTCGACATTACATGTTTCTGGCAGTTACCTCGACATCAGTAGGCGGTGTTACTTGATTCCGAAAGGTTCATAGAGTTCCACAATCTGCTTCCCGCTCTTTTGGCTTTAGTCCTAACGGTCTAACGGTCAACTGTCGCCGAGCGCCGCAATCTCGCGCATCGACGTGCATCGTCCCTCCTTCTGAAAGTTTTAATAAATTCTATTGGTTAAAAATCGTAAAGGTTTCATATAAAAGTTAAATATACTTTAAATATGGGACATTTTCGATTTACATTCAGTCGTGGTTTTACTCTTAAGGAGTAGCCGCAGGGCTCCTCGTTGGAGGACTCTGCAAAAAGTTTAAAAAGACTCTGAAGCTGAGTTTTTTTCTACTCAGAAATGGTTGTTTTATTCCCTACAATAAATAATCCTTAGGCATTTGTCTTTTTCAAGACAATGCCCCTATAAAACGTCCAGCGGATAAGTATAATGTTATAAATACTTATCCCGCTCCGACGATACAATGTCATCAGGTGCCACCAATCACGCACCTCGATGTTCATCGCCCTTCCTTCTGGAGTTTTATTCAAATTTTAATTGGTTAAAAATCGAAAAGGTTTCATATAAAAGTTAATTTTACTTTAAATATGGGACATTTTCGGATTTAGTCAGTCTGGTTTTACCCTTAGAGGGTAGCCCCAGGGCTCTGAAAAGTTCTAAAGACTCTGACGCTGAGTTTTTTTCTACTTAGAAATTGTGTCTTTTATTTCTAAAGTACCTACAACACCTGCAGCATTGTCTTTTACAAGATAATGACCTAATCAGAGCGTACCGGCTAACTGCGCAATATTTCACAATATTGGGCAATAGTTAGAGATATTAGTAAACATGATTATGGCACCGAGATGCATTTCAATTTCAGACGTTTACTAATAATCGCCCGGAGACGACATGGCGCCCAACAAAATCGAACTCACCACGACTCAGAGTCAGAGAGTCTCATGCTCCAAGTGATCGAACATCACACCAGTTCCGACACGAGGCCTGCATCAAAAGCACTCAAGAAAACAGCGGGGAGATGCATCGGATGTTAGTACGTTACACGCTAACATGCCGATATCCACCTTCTGCAGCCTGAAACCGTCGATGTGTTAGATTTTTCGAGCCACCCGACTTCGACGCCGTACCTGATGCACGATGGATGTCCCCGGAGTAGCCAGTCCCTGCCTGCCCTACCATTATGTGGTCCAGAGTCACCACGGAGGCTCAGGTAAACTCGCCTACGACCCACCGGCGACATGCAGAAGGTACCGACAGGGCTAGAACGGGACGTAGCGGCCGACGACCGACCACATCGCCGAGGATGGACTTGCAGATGCCGGCCACAACACCGACCACCGCCTGTGAGTGTTTTGTGCAGTGCTAGTGCGCGTTTCGCGAGTGTTACGTGAGTGTAAGTGCTTAGAGAACTGTAAGTACATTTGACAATATGGACATATCCATTTTTTTGTATATATTTAATGCATTTTTTCTTTTCTATAGTTTGAATTGTAAAAAAATTGTTTTTTCTTAGGTTGTTAATAAAAATCAGCTTTTTTTATCAGCCTCAGAGTCTCCAAAGCAGGGGGGATGTCATCAGGTGCCACCAATCACGCACCTCGATGTTCATCGCCCTTCCTTCTGGAGTTTTATTCAAATTTTAATTGGTTAAAAATCGAAAAGGTTTCATATAAAAGTTAATTTTACTTTAAATATGGGACATTTTCGGATTTGCGGTCAGTCTGGTTTTACCCTTAGAGGGTAGCCCCAGGGCTCTTCACTTTGAAGGGCTCTGAAAAGTTCTAAAGACTCTGAGTTTTTTCTACTTAGAAATTGTGTCTTATTTCTAAAGTACCTACAACACCTGCAGCATTGTCTTTTACAAGATAATGACCTAATCAGAGCGTACCGGCTAACTACGCAATATTTCACAATATTGCGCAATAGTTAGAGATAGTAGTAAACATGGTTATGGCACCAAGTTGCATCTCAAAATCCTACGTTTACTAATAATCGCCCGGAGACGACAACAATGTCGTCTCCGGGCGATTATTAGTAAACGTCGGAAATTGAAATGCATCTCGGTGCCATAACCATGTTTACTAATATCTCTAACTATTGCGCAATATTGTGAAATATTGCGCAGTTAGCCGGTACGCTCTGATTAGGTCATTATCTTGTAAAAGACAATGCTGCAGGTGTTGTAGGTACTTTAGAAATAAAAGACACAATTTCTAAGTAGAAAAAAACTCAGCGTCAGAGTCTTTAGAACTTTTCAGAGCCCTTCAAAGTGAAGAGCCCTGGGGCTACCCTCTAAGGGTAAAACCACACTGACTGTAAATCCGAAAATATCCCATATTTAAAGTAAAATTAACTTTTATATGAAACCTTTTCGATTTTTAACCAATTAAAATTTGAATAAAACTCCAGAAGGAAGGGCGATGAACATCGAGGTGCGTGATTGGTGGCACCTGATGACAACAATGACGCCCAGCCTCCTGAATTGTGATTGGTCAAACTGCAACCTAGGTGCAACCAATCATAATTCTGGATTCTGTTGCTCATTTTCACTATTATCATTGGCCAAAATGCACCAGAGATGCAACCAATGATAATACAGAAAATGTTGCATTGGCCGTTGTGCGATGTAGTCAAAGTGGCGGTTGAAAAATCCGTTACACTTTGACCTACTTTTTCTTCTATAAAAGAAACGCACCACGGCTAGGAAATCAGACTGGGTCAGGATATGTCCGCCAGTCCAGCCTCCTAAGGCAAGTCGAGATCCTCAGGTTGATTAAGTTCCTTGAGCCTCTCAAACCAACTTCTGACTTTCCATTTCGAACGCTACCTTTGGCAAAGTTCTAACCAGAACCCTTGTCGGTTTCCGAGCGGGAACCAGCGGCCATTTTTGGACGAATTATCTGTGCAATTTCGACTTAGTCGAAATTTGCTAATAAAGCGTCCAGAAGCGTCGTAAACTGAAGGCGTATTTAATCTGTGTTTCCGCCTTAGGCGAATTCTGAATAAATACGTACTTGTAGCCGAGTTAATCTTTGTCTTTGTCAAGATAATAAGATTAACGCGGGAACTTACAAGTCGTGTAAGAGAATACCCGCTAAGTCCTTTGTTCAAAGGGCTTAGACGCTAATTCCGCGGATATGCTTAAGGGAGACCGCACAATAAAGATAAACCCTTGTGTTTTATTTCTTTCCCTTATTTGTATTGTATTTTCTCTTTCAGCGATACACTGCAATAAGTAGGTAAGAAATTTTGGTTTTCTTTATTTAAGTTTTACATGCGAAATTACACTGTAATATATTTCTAGGTAATTTGATATTGTATGTATTTTATTGTTTTATATGTCTTACAGGTATTTTTAAGAAATCATAATATATATAACATTATTGATTTTCTCTTTCAGCACTTGACCTTGACTAAAACTTGTTTCTCTAGTTATACTTCTACAATATCGATTTTCTACCTCTTTCAGGACGGTGAACCTTATTTGTTCTCTTTCAGGGAATTTAACTTGTAATATTTGAAGTATTTTAACTACACTGTTATTTAATTATTGCCTTATTTGCTTTATAAACAATTGAACCATTATTATTTATTTACAGGAAATAACTTATATGTTGATTTAACCATTTATTTTCTCATTATCGACTTAGCAAATTTTCCATAAATAATACTTGTTTATTTGCAATAACTTTTTTTACAGCGTAGTTTTGTTACAATTTTATTGTTGTTTGTTTCGAATTAAACTACCCCTCACAGGTTCCCGAAGGAATTAGGTCTCTACGACACCTAGAAATATCCTTCAAATTTTGACAGTTGATAATTTTCTATGTTTATTAATTTCATAATTTGCATATAAATTTTGACTTGTAATTATTTACTAACCAGAACTCTCTTGCAGATTCTTGGGCTTAGATTAATTGCGTAATTATCCTCCAGTTCCAAGGCCTGGAGGTAATTACCACTTTCTTTCAGATTCTTAGATTAAGACTGATTGATTATTATTATTGTTCTCATATTTGCATATTTAATCCCTTTAATTGTTTATCACAATAAACATTTTATTTGTGTTATTTCTCTATCATTTTATCCTAGCTAGGGGTGACATAGCACGAGTCTATGGCCACCGATCGGGATCGATACGATCTACGGTCCAATACAGCTATGGACAGAGCGGTCAATGAACTCTCTCTCTTCCTGAGGGAACTGAGAGTCCAACACGTTACCGACATGGCGCCCAACTCAGTTCAAGAACAGAACCACGACCAGAGATTCCACCGCCTGCGACGTCAGGCCAAGCAGAGTCAGCCTCCGACATCACAGCCCCACAACCAGCTACGCCGGATATCCACCAGATGCTAGCCGTCCTCACCCAGGCAGTGACGGCCCTTACCATAGCGAGTACGAAGAAAGAAGCATCAACTCCACCTCCAGCACCAATAGTAGCACCAGGATGGAAACCACCCCTAAGAAAATTCAGCGGAGCAGAGCACGAGTCCCCAGAAGAGTTCGCAAACCAAGCCACAGAATACCTCCTGGATATGTCAATCCAGGAGAAGCATTGGACGGCATATCTCCTTCAACATGGTCTCGAAGGAGATGCTGCCATATGGGCCACTACCCATGCCGATCCAAAGACAGATCACCACACCTTCTTCAAGCGGCTTATCGAACACTTCAGTCACTCCAGCCGCTATTCAAAGCTGCTAGCGAAACTCTATGGACACAAACAAAGATCCGAGCCAGCAGCAGAATTTATTTCATACAAGATGGCCCTATTCAACAGGGTCTCGCCATCCACCATCGACGAGGATCGATGTACAATCATAACTGACCAATTGAAGCCAGAACTAAGAAAATTCCTGAGGGTCAACCCACCCAGGACGATCGAGGACCTACGTCGAACAGTGGACGAGTTGGAGATCGACATAAAGGCTTCCACCCCGGCTAGTGCCAGTCAGAACCACGAAAAACAGCCATCCACAAGTGGAAACCGAAGTCCAGGACCGCAACAGCCGCAAGACTGCCAACTCCAGCCACCACCACGACAAAATAGGCCTCAACAGTCAGAGACCCTCCAGGATTGGCGCTCAAGAGGTAATAACCGTAACCAGGGCGGTAACTACAACCAAAGTCGCAATCAAGGCGGCAGTCACAACGTAAACAATCAAAACAACAACCGTAATCACCAGAACTTCGATCGAGGCAACAACAATGGTTATCACCAGAGCCACAATCGACCCAACAAATACGAGGAAGCTCAGCCAGCTTCCAGTAACTATATGGAGATGGAAGTGGAACCATGCCTGGGAGGTATGGACGTACACCAAGTCGCTCCACCACAAGCTCAATCAGCCATCGCACAATACACGGAGAAGGAGGTGGAACCATACCTAAGTAGCATGGACGTACACACCACTCCACCACCAGCTCAACCACACCAGTTAGAGCTGAATACCTTGGAGACGCCAACTACTTCCACACCGGAGACCCCCACCAATCCACAAAGTTACATTGTACCACTCCCGGAAATCCCGGCCGAGATCAACGCTACCAAGATCATGGCCCTGATAGACTCCGGTGCCAACAGGAACTTCATTAATATGGACCTGGTCAAGGGAATGGCAACAGAACCTTCAAGCGCCAAGATCCATCTAACAAACGGACAGGCAATGGACTGCAGAAAACCAGTCAACGTCGACATCGTGCTCGACAATAAAATGCCGACCACTATCCGATGTCACCCTGTCGAAGGTCTAGCCAAGGACCTAATCATAGGCATGCCATGGCTGCACGCCGCACATACGTTGATTTTAAATAATTAGCCGGCCAAAAGTCAAATTTCAAAAGTGACGTAAAAAATTTAAGAAATATCCTAGAGATACATGATGGTTTGAATTAACAAAAAATAACTGTCCCAACTCTAGAACTGTTTACCATGCGCGTGCGCAGACGCAGGCGCGCGGTAGGTAGCTTGTCAATAACGTTTTGTTGTCTACGCCTAGTAATACACTTTTTATATATCGTGATATTTTGTGATATTCAGCTTATTTTTTAAAGTGATTATGATGGAATCAAATAATTCAGGTAAGAATGCATATTTCTTGAAATATATAAAGAATGTTTACTGTTATCTTATATTATTTTTTCAAAATCAAAGGCAATCTGTTTTGTAGTAAAACTTTTGTTTACTTTTTATGTTTATAAGACATTAAGTTATATTATCGCCCCAGATCCAGCAATGCTGTTTATTTTATAGTATATTGCATATATTTGGCTAATTAATGCCGTACGATTTAGCTGCGGATAGCTGCGGATGGCTGAATTACAGGGGTTTTTGTTTATTTTGTTTTATTGATGACGTCACACAAATAAAAGTACTTAATTGTATTCACTGTAACAATTTACGATTTTCTTTGTTTTAGCTACATCTGGTGCCTTTGGCATAAAAATAGTGACCCGTAAATATCTTTACGACCAAATGAAGCTTCAAGATTTGCCTAATTTAGATGATAAACTGAAATAATTAGAAAATCACTTACTGACCTGTTATGGTGACACATCTGACAATTTAACCAGTTTAAAGCGAAGATTTCGGCATTTTAAAACGGCCATGAAAGAGAAATGGTTAAAGGCCCACCGAAAAGAGGCTATATTTTTACAAACAAATAGAGTTTGGTTAGATGGAACATTTATACTCGTAGAAAACGAAAAAATGCGACCAGGTCGGCCATCTAAATCATTTAATGACTCCAGTGAAAGAACGAAAAGGAGAAAAACAGAAGAAATACGTTCTTCGCTTGATGGAGAAGTTATCGTTCATGCAGCCCAATCAACATTACAGGCTCGAGGAAAAAGAAATGCTTCAAAAATATTAAAAGATATTACAAACTCTCCAACTCGTGCAGATAAATAGAGAGATGCGTTCAGGAAAATAAATAAAGAAAACATTACTGCTCTTACACCGTTGCAAGCCCTAGCAATGTTTGTTGAAGCTGATTTAACCAAGCGACAGTATGAAATCATTAGAAATACAAATAAATCTTTTTATCCTTCCTATGACTTACTGTTAAAGGAAAAAAAACAATGTTACCCGCCAACGGATTGCATAAAGGTATCAAGTACTTGCGCAGAAAGCAGTTTACAAAGTTTAATAGATAACACCGTTTACCGCTTATCAGTGGGGTTAGAAAAAATCCTTTGTTCTCTAAATGACAATGAAAGGAAGTCTTTAAAAATTATTTGTAAATGGGGTTGTGACGGATCTCAACAAGCCAGATACAAACAGAAATTTGACGATGACGCTGCTACGGATGCGCATATATTCCTATCTTCTTTTGTTCCACTTCGAATAGTATGTGGCAAAAAAGGTAAAAAAGTAATTTGGCAAAACCCAATACCGTCCTCGCCTAGATATTGTAGACCTATACGATTTAGCTTTGTAAAAGAAACAGTTGATGTAACGAACGAGGAGATCAGTTACGTTGAAGAATCTGCCAAAAACTTAACACATACTAAAGTTGTTTTGAACGGTAACACATTCATGTTTGATCATGTTTTTAAGATGACCATGATTGATGGCAAGGTTTGTAATGCTGCAACTAATACAAAATCTACAAGTCGGTGTTATATATGCGGAGCGACATCTAAAGACTTTAACAATCTGAATAAAAAATTAAGTACAAGTTCTAAGGCTATTGAATTTGGTCTCTCGGTATTACATGCTAGAATTCGAATGCTTGAAAGCGTTTTACATTTGGCATACAAATTACCAATAAAAAAGTATGGAGAAAAGAGAACTGACGAAGAAAAGAAGATAGAAGTGCTCACAAAAAAATATATCCAGGAAAGATTTAGAAAAGAAACTGGATTGTTAATCGACATGCCAAAAGCCAATTTCGGGAACACTAATGACGGCAATACTAGCCGAAGATTTTTTGAAAATCCTCAACTAGCTGCCGATATAACAAAAGTTAATTTTGAATTGATATATAGACTGAAGATTATATTAGAAACAATTTCAAGTGGTCATAAAATTGACGTTCAACAATTTGATGATTATTCAAAAGCAACAGCGAAACTGTATGTCGATCTGTATGGATGGCACCCTATGACACCGACCATGCATAAAATATTAGTTCACGGTGCAGAAATAATCGAAAATGCCTTATTACCTATAGGGCAGCTGTCGGAAGAGGCAGCAGAAGCTAAAAATAAGCATTTTCGATTATATCGCGAGAACTATGCACGAAAGTTCTCGAGGGAGGAATGCAACCTTGATATATTTAACAGACTTCTTCTAACTTCTGATCCATTATTAACCATTTTAATCAGCAAGAAACGTGTACAGAAAAGAGTCAAACCAGGCTCATTTTGCCCTGAAACAATTCAAATGCTTTTACCAGGTGACCCGAATACTGAGTCCGATATGTCAGACACTGATATGTGAGGTAAAACAAAAACTAATATATTTTTTGTTCATTTTAAAATTTGAGTTTGATTTTTTCCATGAAAAGTAGATGCCAATATTTAAAAAAACAATATTTCCGTTAATTTGTACCATTTTGAGTAGAACTATGCGGTAAAATAATTTTGGCCGCGTAAATCCGTTAAATCGACGTATGTGCGCCGCAGACGCCCATATGAACTTTAGACGGAAGCGTCTCCGAGTAGGGATCGACAACCGCCAAACGTTAACCTGGGGGAAGCCAAGCAGCAGCACCGACCCACCAGACCAACCTCTCGACGTGGAACACAACTTCATGGAGTACCAGGATGCCTACGAGGATGCCCACCAGCCGACCACCCACATCCGCCAACCAGAAGACGATGCCTACCAGCCGACCTTCCAAATCCGCCAACCCAATGACGACGCCCCCCAGACGGCCGTCGAACTGTTCGATCCCGGGCCTGCCAAACCTGGACTGGCAGCCGCCCCACGAAATTAACAGTAGCCACAGCCTTTCATCACCTGGAGGTGGACGACATCCGTCCAGCCCCACCACCTAGAGACGACGCCGCCGTCGGAGAAGACGCCGACTGACGTGGTGAAACCAAGTAATTTCAAAGACATTTTAAATGAACTAATTTGAATGAAAAGACATTCTATTTTTTAATGAAAATTTTCATGTTTCAAAGACATTTTAAATGAACTAATTTAATGAAAAAGACATTCTTTTGTAATGAATATTTTCATGTTTTTTCAAAGACATTTTTAAATGAACTACTTTTTTAAACATTTTTTGTAATGAATATATTATATAAAAATAATATTGTTTAGGAACATTTTCCTGTTATATTGCAAATATGCATCTTTGCTTTCAATATTTTGGAAGACATTTTTGATTAACATTATTTAAATATTATATCAAAATAATATTTCTTGTAGCATAGCGACATATGCAAATTTAGGAACATTTTCCTTTTTTCGTTTTTTTTTTTGCAAATATGCATTTTTGGTTCTTGTAAAGAATATTGTTATATTTATGTTTTCCTGTATTGTAAAATATATGTTTTTTTCAATAAACAGGAGTAAAGGAACTCTGATTCCCTGAGGATCTTCAAAGCGGGGGGGGGGTGACGCCCAGCCTCCTGAATTGTGATTGGTCAAACTGCAACCTAGGTGCAACCAATCATAATTCTGGATTCTGTTGCTCATTGTCACTATTATCATTGGCCAAAATGCACCAGAGATGCAACCAATGATAATACAGAAAATGTTGGATTGGCCGTTGTGCGATGTAGTCAAAGTGGCGGTTGAAAAATCCGTTACACTTTGACCTACTTTTTCTGCTATAAAAGAAACGCACCACGGCTAGGAAATCAGAGTAGACGATCTTACTATATTCCGAAAGGGTATACGTGAAATTATCTACTTCCCGCACTTTTTCTGCCAACGGTCCTAACGGTCCTAACGGTCGTCTGTCGTCTCCGGGCGATTATTAGTAAACGTAGGAAATTGAAATGCAACTTGGTGCTATAACCATGTTTACTAATATCTCTAACTATTGCGCAATATTATGAAATATTGCGTAGTTAGCCGGTACGCTCTGATTTGGGCATTATCTTGTAAAAGACAATGCTGCAGGTGTTGTGGGTACTTTAGAAATAAAAGACACAATTTCTAAGTAGAAAAAAACTCAGCGTCAGAGTCTTTAGAACTTTTCAGAGCCCTTCAAAGTGAAGAGCCCTGGGGCTACCCTCTAAGGGTAAAACCAGACTGACTGTAAATCCGAAAATGTCCCATATTTAAAGTAAAATTAACTTTTATATGAAACCTTTTCGATTTTTAACCAATTAAAATTTGAATAAATCTCCAGAAGGAAGGGCGATGAACATCGAGGTGCGTGATTGGTGGCACCTGATGACATCCCCCCTGCTTTGGAGACTCTGAGGCTGATAAAAAAAGCTGATTTTTATTAACAACCTAAGAAAAACAATTTTTTTACAATTCATACTATAGAAAAGAAAAAAATGCATTAAATATATACAAAAAAATGGATATGTCCATATTGTCAGATGTACTTACAGTTCTCTAAGCACTTACACTCGCGTAACACTCGCGAAACACGCACTAGCACTGCACAAAACACTCACAGGCGGTGGTCGGTGTTGTGGACAGCATCTGCAGGTCCATCCTCGGCGATGTGGTCGGTTGTCGGCTGCTACATCCCGTTCTAGCCCTGTCGGTACCTTCTGCATGTCGCCGGTGAATCGTAGGCGAGTTTTACCTGAGCCTCCGTGGTGACTCTGGACCACATAATGGTAGGGCAGGCAGGGACTGGCTACTCCGGGGACATCCATCGTGCATCAGGTACGGCGTCGAAGTCGGGTGGCTCGAAAAATCTAACACATCGACGGTTTCAGGCTGCAGAAGGTGGATATCGGCATGTTAGCGTGTAACTTACTAACATCCGATGCCTCTCCCCGCTGTTTTCTTGAGTGGTTTTGAGTGGCCTTGAGTGGTTTAGCCGGTACGCTCTGATTTGGGCATTATCTTGTAAAAGACAATGCTGCAGGTGTTGTGGGTACTTTAGAAATAAAAGACACAATTTCTAAGTAGAAAAAAACTCAGCGTCAGAGTCTTTAGAACTTTTCAGAGCCCTTCAAAGTGAAGAGCCCTGGGGCTACCCTCTAAGGGTAAAACCAGACTGACTGTAAATCCGAAAATGTCCCATATTTAAAGTAAAATTAACTTTTATATGAAACCTTTTCGATTTTTAACCAATTAAAATTTGAATAAATCTCCAGAAGGAAGGGCGATGAACATCGAGGTGCGTGATTGGTGGCACCTGATGACACGTCTGTCGCCCAGCCTCCTGAATTGGGATTGGTCAATATGCAACCTAGGTGCAGCCAATCATAATTCTGGACGCTGTTGCTCATTTTCGCTATTATCATTGGCCAAAAATGCACCGGAGTTGCAACCAATGATAATACAGAAAATTGGGCATTGGTCGTCGTGTGTGTAGGCAATTCGGTACCAGGCAGTGACGGTTACGATTGACCTACTTTTTCCTCTATAAAGGAAACACACCACGGCCAGGCAATCAGACTGGGTCAGGATATGTCCGCCAGTCCAGCCTTCCTTTAGGCAAGCCGAGATCTCAGGTCGATTAAGTTCCTTGAGCCTCTCAACCCAACTTCTGCTTATTATTTCGAACGCACCTTTTGGCAAAGTTCTTACCAGAACCCTTGTCGGTTTCCGAGCGGGAACCAGGCGGCCATTTTTGGACATTTATTTGTGCAATTTAGACTTAGTCTAAATTTGCTAATAAAGCGTCCAGAACGTCGTTAACCGAAGGCGTATTGTATAGTGTAAGTAAGAAATATTGTAGAAACTCTTTAAGAGCGGAACCCTTTGATCTAATATCTGATTACACTGACCCGACTGGTTCGCACAGACTTGAATTGGTCGGTGCGAAATATTTTAGTTTAGTTTAGTTGGGAAGCAGACTAGACTAGAGTGTAGGTGTGTTTGATGGAATTTAATTATTTTGAATAGTGATGTGGCGTCCCTGGGAGAATGTGGTTGAAAACATTGCTTTTAAAAATAATGATCATGTACAAAGTAACAGTGCCGGGGTGAATATAAATCCTGACAAAAAGGTACCTGTAAACAAGATTCGAATACATTTAAATGCTGAAACACAGCAAGTATGTTTGAATGTGTACAAAAATCTACATAAGAAATTCGGCTTCGATGAAAAACTGTTGGCACAAGCAACTTCCGATTTAACAGAAATTCCACTTTCAAGTATATACAAAATAGTTAAAAATGAACCCTATCATCGCAAAAAGCGATGTGACTACAAATGTTCAAGACCTATAGATGCTTCACTTATAAAACTATTGAAGACCACAATATACGATTGCTACAAAAGCAATGAAATACCTACAATAGAAATAATACGAAAGAAATTGAAAACAACCGGTTGGAATATGAAATGGTGTGATAAAACTCTTCAAAATTGGATAAAGAAAATGGGATTTAAATTTAAAACAATAAATAAACGTCAAGCAGTTATGGAAAGTCAAAGAATAGTCAACAGACGTAATATATATCTAGAACAAATTACAAAATATAGGCAAGAAAGTAGGCGAATTTACTATTTAGATGAAACTTGGTATGATACCCACGATACAGTTAAGAAAGGATGGACAGATGGTTCAAACATGTGCATATCAGAAATGCCTGCAAATAAAGGGTCGCGGCTAATTATTGTACATTGCGGAGGAAGTGAAGGTTGGGGTCCTAATGCTTTAAAATTATGTGGGAAGAAAATAGAAGATTGTAACGTTGACTACCACAAGAATATGGAAGCTGATATTTTTGAAGATTGGTTTGAAAACTCACTGATCCCAAACTTGGAGCCAAACAGTGTAATAGTGCTTGACAACGCTTCGTATCATTCCCGACAGCTCACTAAGATACCAAATTCATCTTCAAACAAAGCTGAACTGCAAAATTTTTTAATGGAAAATGATTTGTATTTCGAAGATTTTTATACAAAAAAACAACTCATTGAAGTTCTACACATAAAGAAATTTGAAAAATTATACGCCCTAGAGAATATTGCCGAAAAGCATGGACACACTATATTGAGACTTCCCCCCTATTTTTGTGTTTTCAATCCTATAGAGTTAATTTGGGGACAATTAAAACCAAGTATAAGGCGTGCAAATACATTTCCTAAATTTGACAAGAAGGTAATTGAGATAATTAAAAAAGAAGTATCTAATATTACCAAAGAAGACTGGCAGAAAAGAATCGCCAAAGTAATCAAAGTTGAAGAATATTATAAGAAGATTGGCCACTTCCACATTAATGGTGGAAATAAATTTATTATTGATTTGAATGATGATAGTGACGTAGAAAATTCGAAAGAAGGAGAAAATGAATTAAGTGTATAAGTAATCTATGTGACTCAGACAAATTGTTGCCT